GTCTATCAAACAAGCTACCTATCTTAGCACAAGCGAACTATATACGAACTTATGCAGGCTCTGAAACTACTAAGGTCTCGTCTAAGGAATGCGAACAGAGTTCTTCTGAGGAAAAGCCGACGAATGGAARAGCGGAGAAGATAAAAGACTCTGTGTTTACAGCCTGTCGTGTGACAATCAAAGTGAGACCGGCTTGCTGATGATCAATTTTTTTCATAATATTTATGCTGAATACACTGTTTTTTTATTATTTTTTATTCCAGGAAGTATTTGCTTTACGCCTTTTGATAGTATGACTATTAACTTTATTAAGGTTCATTAGTCCAATTCTTCTCAATTCTTCGACTACAACACTCATTGTTGTCACTTCATCGTTTTAATATATTCAAGCAGAACCCCGAGTTCACGCAGCTATGCGTCTAGTTGTTTAAAAAATTGAGTAATTAACTTTTTTCATTACATTATTATGACCATCGAAATATCGAGATTTCTCATCTAAACGAGAATAGTAAATAGTTTTAGTATTAGAATTAGTAAAATGCTTTCTCGCATATGAATGGACGTTTCTCATTGCAGTTTTTATTCATCCACTTGCCACCTCTTCCCATTGCSGCACAACTAGAAGTGTCTGCTACAGTATCTGGGCTGTAAGCGGGCAGAGGAATGTAGTTAGAGATGTGAGTTCCGTCTGACCAGCCAAATAGCTTGTTTTGCGTTAGATCACTTAGGCCAATCCACGGTCCATATTCGTTGTACTCTGGCAAGAAAGGAAACGATCAACAGACAGAATCCTTATTATCCTTATTATTATCCTTATTATTATCCTTATTATTATCCTTATTATTATCCTTATTATTATCCTTATTATTATCCTTATTATTATCCTTATTATTATCCTTATTATTATCCTTATTATTATCCTTATTATTATCCTTATTATTATCCTTATTATTATCCTTATTATTATCCTTATTATTATCCTTATTATTATCCTTATTATTATTTTCCTTATTTGATCTAATGATATGATTGACTTATCTATCTTGACGTGTTCGCGTTATTTTTTATAATTTCTTTGACTATTTTCTACCATTTTTATCACATATTTGCTTCTACATTCAAGTTGCCTTTTGATCTTAGCCATCTCAGGTGATTGGCTGGTTTGATTGCTTATTTATCTACATTATTTGTTCGTTTCATAATGATAATGATTATCAAAAGTAATACAGGTGATTAAAGTGCTACTTGCATGAAAATGGTCATATTTCAAAACTTCAAGCAATACAAATATATGACTYATTGATATCTATTAAAAACAATTKMGGGAAAATATTTGTTTTGGAATTATCCCACATCAGATAAATTTTGATTCAAAAGATGGAAGAACAAAAGGATGGAGTAAATGACGTCATCTACTCCAACATTTTTTGYCCAAATTATTAAGGATTTGCATGAATATTTTCTTGAAATCTGCTGCTWCTTGATTATTAAACCCATATGGATAGGTCTATTTGATTTCCGAGTCTTTTCTAATGATTCGAAATTTTCGTCCAAGTATCCCTTTAAACCATCCTTTTTTACAAATATGATGTTCTAAACAAGTCTTAAAGAATGCGTTTAAGTGTACTTTCAAAATTGAGGATGATAATTGGAATTCCACCCATGGGGTCACAACGTTTCGTTGGTGTTCACACTTTCTTGTACTTACTTTATCACAGATTTAAGGGCAAAGAGCCTTGTTTCTCTGCGTCCCATTAAGTATTAGATGAATCTCATTATACGTATGTATAAGTACATACCTCAATCTACAATCGTTTTCTAATTTACTTTATAAGCATTATATCATTTCACATACTCATGACGTCATTGATCTCATCGATAGTCAGAGCTCTGTCAAACACCATCAACTGCTTCATAAATCCATGAAAAGGCCTTCGATTGMTAGTGATATCTGAAGGTATTCCAAATCTATAAACATTACTGGTAGATTTTTTGAAGTCTGTTGATTGGCGATCTAGTTCCACTTTTACTTTCATGACCTTTCCATTGACAGCAATGGCAGCATTTTCATTTGTTTTGTTCCAGGTTATGGCAATATGGCGACAGTTTGACCGTGAAACAGGGCTAGAATTATAGAAATATATCATTGTTAACAAACAGCGCACGTTTTTTAGTTGTATGATCTCTTTTTTTACACATTTTTGATATATATGTCATTAACCTAGTGTGAGATCTGTGCGAGGTCCGTACATAAAAGATCTCGGTCTGATATTTTACCATACAGACCTCGCACTCGATTAATAAGCTTTTTATAATATGTCTTCTTTTCTACATCGGAAAAGCAAATGGAAACGGCGAGCGAATATCGATTGGCCTACGTACTTATCTATTGGTTCAACTGAAGCAAGTAAAGCACATGGAATCAAACTGTCAAAATTGTGTGTTTATTAGTATAGGTAATAAYATGGTTTCGAGTTCAATTTGGAATTAATTTGTACGAGTTTGTTTTTCAAGAGGCCATAACTTGGATCTTTGAAAAACAAACGARTGCAAATTCATCCAAATTGAACGAGAAATCATCTGATTTCATACTTATTGATAATATACATGAAAAAATTGAAGCCAAAACTGACAAGGCTAGACAAGGAGCCAACGATAAAAACAAAAGCAAAATATAAACAAAATATCATCAATGCATACTAATTCTTTTTATTTTATTCTTGACAAACGATTTTTACACTTGTCTTACTATAAAAGCCAGCAAAAGCAGTAGTTATAACACATATAAAAGCTTTCTTTCGTACAAAAGAAATAAAAAAATTGAAGCAAAACAAAGTTCTATTCTCGATACAAAATCGTCTTGAAATAGTAATTAGCAAGCTTAGTGAAACTTCATCACCAATACAAAATCCTTGTCCAATTCTTCAATGAGAAAGCTTTTGTTGTTTCTTTTAAGCACTTTTTGATAGTTTTTGAGTAGTTTTTTCTCTGTTATCGGCGAAGTGTCCGYCATCTTGGAATCTTGAGAAATGAGTTTTCAGTTACAAAGAAAGCTTGATTCTGATTGGCTGAAAACATTTCTTTTGTTTCTTAGCCAATCAAAAGCGCGCATCTTCGTTTGTAATTGCACTGATTACACTTTTATGCACTTCTCAGTCTGTTGCATTTGCACTACAGAAATGTAATTGCACTAAGAATTGATTGAGATGTTATTAGCCAATCAAAACTGAGTAATTTTTTCATGTATATTATTACACAAGAAAACAACTATTTTACTAGACAGGATATTACTTGGTGTGCGGATACGCGAAGAGCGAATGATTTTCAACAAGATAAGATAAAATTCGTATCCCCAATCGATAATGAAATATTCTAACTATCATATAATTATATATGAAAGTATATTAATTATGGCGTAKAATACCTTTCACTAGTTATTTTTATTAATTTCTTATTGTTTATTCACGCACCGCGATATTCTTTTCTGGCGGGTTGGTGCAACGACRTCAAAACACTAGAAACATCGAGCCAGGAGTGATATCCTGTCTTTTTCAATTTTCCAAAATAGCTAAACCGACTTCACTCTATAGGAGCGTGCAGCTTATTCAAAATATTCAAATTCCGAGATATAAGTAGAATTGGCCTGAAATGTCATATAAATAACACCGTATCATATCTGGTTAGTTTTTAATGCTAAGATTAAAGATGATATGATTAAAGGAAAGAGCCTTGTTAACGCATACTTATCGACGTTTTTTTTATACATGGAGCAACTTATACTCGTCAGGGGAATCTCCAAAGGCGACTCTTTCAAATAAATTCTCTTTAATCTGCTTTAAATGCTCTTAAAACTGATATGCTATCATTAGTCGGGCTAGCCATAGGCAAGGTCGACTTGAGTTTTAACTTTTTTTCTATCTATCTTTGTATTTTGCCGCGTTTGGACCACTGGAAGTCAAGAATTCGAGACTTAAAAACCGACTTGATTAACCGAATTTGACTTAAAAACGTATTGGATATCACTTATCGACATTTAGTCTACCGTGTTTGATTTTATCAGTCAAAGCAAGGATTTATTTAAAAATATTCGCCTGAAAATAACTTTTTGGACATTCTTCTGAGTAGTAAGCTCTGGTCCATGTACAAAACTCTTCGATAAGTATACTTTAAGTAGGTTATAATTAACATTGCATTAAAAATTGTTGAGGTATCAACGGTGTTTATTACATGACCTTTTTGGTCAGATTTATTTAAGTCTTACCAGGAGCCCATTACTACGAAATTTTGCATATTTTGTACTAGACGCTCTTAGAGCATGAAGTCGGGCTATTTTGAAAAAAGAAGAGAAAAACAGGGTATTTTKYMTGGCTCGATACTTCTATCGTTTTGACGTTGTTGCAGAATGCCGTCAAAAAATAATATCGTAGCGTGTGAATAAACAATTAGAATTTTGAACAGTACATTAATTGAAGTAACGCATTCTTTTTTTCACTATGTATTAGAAGTAAAAAAAATATTTTCTACGTCATAATTTACATTAATATATAATCATATGATAGACAGACAATATCCTGTCTTTCTCAATTTTCGAAAATAGCTAGCCCGACTTCACGCTCTAAGAGCGTCTGGTTACTAATGCAATGGTAGACTAAATGTCGTCATGCATTTGATGATCAGATATCTTTGTTTACACTTTCACAATTGACCTCTCAGGTCAAGAATCAAATTTTACAAAACAAGTATTTCTGAGTATTCTTGAGTATATTTCAGTTTTCTTTAAGTATATTTGAGTACTAAGATCAGTTTGCGAACCCATTATTTTTCGTCTCCTTTCTCAATCATCTTTTTAGCGAAGTTTAGCRAATCAGATTCCTCGTAATCAGCATYAGTCAATCACATAACGAGAAAGAACTTTCTGATTCATAATAAATCAGGGCGATAGAATATGATAAAATATCAAAATCGCTTCATTTCTTATCTCAAACAACTGTGAACCATTCATCTCAGACTCATCTCAGGCCCATAGARCTCTCGATTTGAAGGAGAATCCCCGAGGACATTGTACTTAAGACGCGCCCCAGTGATTACATTTCAACGACTTCAGGTGTTTAGCCGTAGCGTAGCTCGTTCGCATTATTGAAACCGTATTTTTTTATCACTGAAATCGTACTTTTTTTTAAAGAATTTTCATATTAAAGCTAACATAAAGTCCATAGACTTGCACTAACTTCGTATTACTTTCACCGTGCTCATTTAAATTTAACGAGTCGAGTTCGCTCTTTTCCAGCTTGAATTCCATATGCGTCATTTCGATGTTTATATCACTRCTCCACACGGATAGCGTTGCGTGACGACACAGCAGAGGACAGCTCTAGGACGTTTGCTTTATGTAACTGAATAAAAGATAAGCGCATGCTCAGAGTAGTGAATCTCCCATCCAATCAAACATTCTTGCAGTTACCAGGGTACAAGYAGCCCAGAGTCAAGTATACCATAAKAATCATGATATTCGGCCTATCACGTGCTCACCTACGAAGTAACGTGTCAACCAAAATTACCCATAATTTCCTGGTTAAATAGCACAGGAATACCAAAGTCACATGGTCAACCAAATTATCCATAATGCTTTACATCTATTACCTTACTTGTCACATGCTGGTGGTGCTTTCTACTCTACGATTCCTCGATATTTGATATGGATTTGCAAAGATGTCGAAAAAAGTACATGCTAAGACGCTCAATTAACTTACAAATGCACACGCCGTTCGCGGTAGACTCACACTAAATTAATTTTTCCGAATTTATTCCTAAGGGACTTCTCCCGGAATTGCCYCYTTCTAAGCACTATAACTTTCTTTCATTTCTATATCGTGTTTATCATAGTGCCATGCGGTCTTCATATTCATATCTTTACATTATTCTATTACCGCAACCTTAACATCTATTTCACCCCGACCTGCTCCCAGTCTGGCCTTGTAGCTCAGCTGGTAGAGCATCGGTGTACAAATCCGAAGGTCGTGGGTTCGAATCCCAGCGAGGTCGGAAATTAATTTTTCCGAATTTATTCCTAAGGGACTTCTCCCGGAATTGCCTCCTTCTAAGCACTATAACTTTCTTTCATTTCTATATCACACTAAAAGATGTCAATGAGCGTAAGTTTCGAAACGAGTCCTTCCGCGAACTCAAAAGGTCAAAGAGTACTCAAAGATATTCAAAGCAAACTCAAACAGGACTATATTGCTCTAATTAAAAGCTGTTTCGGCCCTCTTCAGTGCAGTGCAGTGCTGCGTCTATATTTTTTTCTATAAATATAGTGTTGAATAAAGTAAATAAAACAGATGATTTTAAAGAGAAGGCAACGTTGAAAGTGTACAATGCCTCGTGATTGTTATTTCGAAAAACATGGTATTTTTATTTTGCTATTTGCTCCAGGAGCAATTTTAACATTTTTTCTATCTATTTTGTCAATGAAACGATAGCTCTATTGTAAATAGTATTGTTACAATGTTCTTAATCTCATGTGCAATAAGTTAGACAGCTATAAAATCCATTACGATCTGACAGTTTGACGTATAGAATGACAAAAATGTCATTCTATATTAGACAGCTATAGTATATATCTTTTTAGTAAAGTTAATTTTTTAGTTTTGTTTTTTTGTACCATTTCTGGTATTTATGGAATAAAGATTTTTTTTATTTCCCTGAAGTCATAGAAAACATTCATACAAAACAACAAATATCACACATTTCACTGTGTTTGTACTGGCTAATGCAAACCTCGACGTTGCTGAATTTGCTCCMGAATTCTCTCAACCACATTTCGGCTTGCACAAGCGAGTGCGACTGATTTTTCCTTTCACAGTAAATGTGTTCTATTTGTTAAATACAGCCATTGATAATTCACGACTTTCCATGCGCAGGAACACTGATCACAGACGTGACGTCAATGTACACTGATCACAGATCTTTTCTTCTAGCCTCAATGTACCTTGACGCCTCAGTTCAATGCTTTGTTCATGGTCACTGAACCGGAGTTTGGAAAGTCGTGAATAATACGAAACCTACCTTGCCGCTTTTGTTTTCAAACTTAGAAAAATTCCATCGTCAGAGCTCATCGTAAATTCCAGCCGTTTTTCTTGTTTTCGATAATTAAGAATGAAGCCAGGTTTTTCAGAAGAAATTGTATCTGTCAAAATTGTACCCACATTTTGGTCTCCGAATTTATCGATTTTTAACTTAAAAGCCAATGTAAAGCCTTCCAAATTAAACTGGAATGCTGGTATGTCAGCGTAGCTATTTTTTAMGTTGACGTACAGTGATAATTCGCCATCGTAAGTTTTGTATTGGGCTTGTTTTGGATTTCCCTTGACCTGTAGACTGGAAACAGAGAATGACCCTTTCCTAAGATGTTGGTTCTGCGGAACCAAAGCGAGGCTTAGGCTTGGTCACAACATTTTCTCGTGTTCAAAATAGATGTAGAAAATTGCTGTGCAATCAATAACTTTACGCTTTGATAATCATATTTTGTCTGCAAAGTGTTTACTACAAACTGACATGTTTTCAGTTAGAGTCTATTTCTGTCGAATACCATATTTAGGCACTGCATCCACAATTTTCATACCGATTTATCTTTTGGTATTTTATGAAAATTTCTCTTGACTCCTTTGACGATAATTTCTGAAKAGGCATGACAAAGTCGAATACAACTTTTCCCTTTTTTTTTTTTGCTTGCTCAGCAATTTTCTTCGTCAATTGTGAACACGTGGGAATGTTGCATCCTAGCGAAAGCTTCGCTTTGGTTTTGCAGAACCAACATCTTGGCCACTTGGGAAAGGGCAAAATTTTAATATATCACCAAATTAAATACGCAGTATATCAGTGTTTTTATACTTTCTTACTTGTTACGTTTTGAGCGTAAAACCTTTGCTACCAAGGCGCGTAAAGATATTTTAGGCTTTTGAACTTCAAATCTGTGCAAGCAGTTTGCGCTGGTATCAGGAATACTTGTTCAAATTGTTGTTCCCAGTAGTTTTTAAATATCAAAATAGGCYGGTGTGCAGTTTGTCTATTTAGTTCATTCTCGTCCTCCTCTAAGCTAACCATCTCCTTCTATGTATTTTGTTCTATTTTCTTTTATGCACTCTGTGCCCTCTTGTTACGACATTGATGCTGACTAAATCTGCATTCTGTCAAACGTTTTGTTACTTATCTTTACTAGAAAATACTGTAAAACTTCTACTATGTCCACAAACATTGCCGATGCGCGTAATTCATGACGTTGTAATGATAATCAATATATGAGACCAGTTAGGTAAAGAATAAATGCAATTTTGAAAACCATTTTGGAAACGTAATATTTAAGTTAAACAAGATAAAGAGTGACGTTTATTTCTCCGTTTTAATTCAAACTATCATCAAGAAAGAAATACAGACCAGTTAGTTCTTACCTAATATCACTATCATGACCATCAAGAGCCCAGTAGTGCGTGCTTGGAGCTGGTGCTGAAAAAAAAGATTGACAATGCATTCGTCACAAAACACATTCAATCAATTTGAAAAGTGCTTGATGTATGTTGCAAAACTAGGAGGAAAAATCCAAAAAGGATTAATAACAGGAAAACATACATCTCAAATTTCCATCTTGTGGATTTTTATTGCGAAAAAATCGGAGAAACTGATCGATGAGATGSAACTTCAATATATTTGCAAATCTTCTTTTTATGTTTTATTTTTCTTCTTCAATCTATTAGATTGAGAACACAAGTATTAAACACATATTTATTGAGACCGTGTATGTTTCCCGAAATGGCATCATATGGAGCGATTCAGGATCACAAAACATGGGGTGCTTTCCATTATTCAGAACTGGCTAGACCGGTCTTTTCACAAGTAAATCAAGTTTACAAGTTTAATTCAATAAATAATAATGATTTACACATGAGTAGTTAGCGGTCATCGCAATTAGTTAAGACTATTCAGGGCGATACCCGCTATAAATACTAATTCAGATTACAAAATGAAAAAGTTAATAGCAAGACAATGAAGAAAAAAATAAAATCTTAATCAGGTTTATGTGAGAAAATGTTCTGAAAAAAGAAAAAAAGAGAAAAGGAAAAAAGAACGATTGAGAAAAAACAAAAACATAGTGACAAGAAGAATAAGCAGCTATGTGATTAGTTATTTAGTACAGTCAGGAAAAGCTGAGTAGCCCTGGTCAATTCAAAAATAGCTCTCCTCATTCTGCAACAAGTAAAATAAATTTGACCRTATAGTTTTTTTGAACAGAGGCTTTGGATATTCCCTGATAAAACTGCAACTGTGACTCATGTCTTTTGTCGAGATTTTTCAGTAATTTTCCAAGTTTTCCATTATACTATTGGATAAAAATTAGAAATCAATTCTTCAGGATTGATTATAGTATTGGAATTCACTTTTGGTCKGACCAGTCAGTCCTTACAAATGGAAAGCGCCCGTAATGTTTCCCAAGGTTCGAGTAAAATAAGCCGTCATCATTCCAAACTGATGAAACAAAATATACAGAAAAAAGGAAGAGTTTTTGATGTACGAACAACATTGATTGTTGACAGTCAAAGCAAATCTACGAGTTTTTGAAATCACCGGTTAAAATCTCTTGTCAAAAAATGTTGGAGTACTTTAGATGTTTCTCTGAGGGAATGTTTCGTTGAGTTGCGCTCTTTATGAATGAATTGAATGAATTTTGAAATGCAAATGTGGCCGTTCTTTGATCCCGTTTATTCTACATTTCAGTCTCGTAGCTTTCGATGCAGTCATTGTGCCGTTGTGGGTCAACAATAAATTTAAAGCAAATATTGAGAACCTGTTATATTAGCCTGAATCGGTTTTGTCAAAACGTCATAAACAAAGCCATTTTTGAAAGAAGAGGACAATGACGTGAGGTTTCCACTATTTGCCTTGCAGTGCTCGGACGCTTCAGTCCAGTTTTTCTCTTCTTTAAACAGCTTTAACATTCGGGAACCAATGCGGTACCATCCATTTTCCAAGACTGTTAAAACACATTAAAAAAAWTTTAGTGTTATTTTYAAGTTGTTTTATTAGAAGCAAAATCACTTAGACTTTCATATCTTGGTGTGATGAAGAGTTAATTTATAGCTTGATTCCCAGATCTTCCTCCCCAAACCCCATCTGATGGACATCGACTACAAAAATCACTTCAAAAACCACTTCAAAAGCCAATTTATTCAGTACTAAATACCGTACTTTATATGTACTTATTGACTGAGTGGGAGGGCCGAACGGGACAATATTTGGCTCGAGGTTATGCCGTACGGACAGAGCGCATATCATATGATAGAGTTTTTAATGTAAAAAACATTAATAAAAGCGCGAAAATTTCGAGCCGGGAAAATACGGGTTTGTACGGCCCTGTCGCGAAAAGGCATCACGTGACCATTTCGCAAAGGTTTTTTAAGAGCGCGCGTATAGGGCCGAAATATGGTTCATATGATAATATTGTTATATTTTTAGTAACTAACAGTAGCGAATCTCAATATAAATGTCGTGTTCATTTTGTCTATTCAATTACTATTTTAACCAGAGCTTAACTTCTATTTCAACATTACTGTCCTCCAAGTGGGCCTTGTAGTACCAGCCATATTTTTCGTAGCACATTTTTATATTTTTTGTTAAAATTTCTTCCTTCATTCGTTTGAAACCTTACTTTGTTTGATGATGCAATCCTTCGCTTCACACATAGCAGCACTTACATCCTTTAAAAATGACAAGAACAAATTAYATTTTKCTAAAATTTCAACTCTCTAATTTGAGCAGTCATTAAACACCAGTCATTGATATATACTTACCACCATTTCATGGTATTCTGAACCCAGCCTAGGTTCCAGGCCACCAGCTGCACCCATGGTTGAGTTGTTYAAATCGCATTCATAAAACACGTCGAATAATTGACGRACATTRATTGAGAAGCACCATGGTAACTGAACACACTCTTCCCAGCACAAYACAATCAAACTTTTAGTCATYGTMARAATAACGTGATTGGGTAGTTCCATTCCTGGGGTTTCTGCAAATCTATACGYAGTGCATGATGGTTCAGAGAGAGACTTGTGTGCTATGATGGACAAGGTCACCAGAGCAAAAATATCGGCTGTCTTAAGCATCATGAATATTACCCTGAAATACGTCAGGATATTCTGTTAATTTCGGGGTTAAAAATGCACAGTTTGAAAGTAACACTAACAAATTTTTTTCACATATATCACATGCCTGTGCAATCCAAAAATAGAACTCTGAAACATTTGCCACATGTACAGTATATACACAATGCATTGTAGGATATGTTTGGGACAAAACATTGCAGATTTATTTCGTTTTCTATAGAAACTAATCCTACAATGCATTGAAAATCAATAGTGACGTAAAACGTTTAGAAGTCTATTGAATACAGGTGTACATACGTGTTATGTATTAAATACTATTATAATTACGCGACGCACGTGTTTGGTTGGACTTCATTGCTGAAATTGACATTAATTTTATTATCAGATT